TAGTAAACACTAGTATTGTGTTTTATTCCAAAGACACGTGGCAAATTTTCCATCAAATTCCTTTATTAGTTGAGTCAACTCAACTAATAAAGGAATTTGATGGAAAATTTACCATGTGTCTTTGGAATAAAACACAATACTAGTGTTTACTACGCCACAAATATAAAACAGGACACTGTTTCAAAAAACAAATTTAATGTATTGAATAAAATAGAAACATGGAATTGTCTACAGATATGATAATATATTGTAGTACATTGGAATAAATTTGAAATATAAACTTTAAAACAATTTTTGCAGGTTTGCAGAACACCAGGTTATCTGTCGACTCTTGACGGTCATCGATAGTCATTTTGTTGCCATGGGTGCCATTTTCCGGCAAAATATGTCTATTCTGTTCTATTAGCTAAGCAGCACTTACTTGGGTGCTTATAGATTAGCCTATAATTGGAGCATTCATATACTTTGATCAAGCTTCTGATTTCTATATTTGTAGTTATTTAAATTTTAAAAGTAATATTTTGTAATGTTAGATGGCACATTTCATTTAAATTCTGACTTGTTGTGAAATGACATAGCAGACAGTTATTTTTTTGTCTTAATATAGTTTACTCTTATTTATAAATAATAATAATGAGTAAAAGTAAAGCGCAAAGCATGAGGCATAAAATAAATAGTTCATTTTTAAGTAGTTTGATCATCACCACCCCTTGTTTACCATGTTAATTGGTAATAGGAGTGTACACGATGTTGCATATATATCAGTATAAAGCTATTAATCATAGAATTAATTATAAGTGGACTTGTAATCTATCAGTATGAACAGTTTGTAATTATAATATCATAAGTATAGCAATTATCATGATTTATTGTGCATAATTATCCTGCATAAATTGCTACAATGCATGACCTGTACCTGCTTTCAAATTGACATTAAAACACACTAACCCATACATTATATATATGGGGAAATTTTATATATTACAGTATAATTATGGTATGTAAAAATAACCGTAACTTAAATCCTATTATTGTTTAGTTCTTGTATTGAAAATATTTGCAATACATGTGACAGGAAACTGCTTTCTTATAGAAATAAAGTACAGAGTAAACCTTTACTGTAGTGAAGAGTCCTAAAAATATAGAGAAATATTTGTAATACCTACATGCATACTGCTAACAGCAGGTTTGATTAGAGTCTGGTCAAAACCTCCAAAATTTTCTTATTTTGGTATTTTGGTCTCGGTCTTAAGCTCGGTCATCATGCAAGTTTAGTGGATCCCACAGTGATTACAAGAAAAGTTTTTGATATCCTATGGCAGAGAGTTTAGAAATATGCATTTATATACTAATAAACATCCAAAAAAGTTAGTAATTATATAGGATTTTGTTCTATGGCATCACAACTAATGCTAAAGATGGCGTCATTTGCTGTTTGAGATTATCGAGTTATGTTGCAATTATCATTATAACTTCCTTTTACCTTCTGAAACAATGACTCCCAATTTTTTTTACCTATAGAATTTTTAGTATTCTTTTTGTAAGTTTTAATAACATGAAGATTTTATTTTATTCTTGTTCCTGCTTTTAATCACTACCTTTATGATTACTGCCAAAGAATTCAAGCCTTGCATGCACTGGATTACTTCATTTAGTGTCATTCTGTTCTTATATCAGTTACTATATTTTCACTTATAATCTCTGTGATGTCAAATTTATTATTGAATATGTAAAAAATTAATAATTATTATTATTCTTATAAAAAATTTGAATACTAATTACATCTTAATTTTATACAGAAATGAATTTATGCTGGTAAGAAAAGGAAATAATGTCAGTATATAGAGAAACCTTTAATTCTTTAATTTTGTCTCTAAAAGAAGCCGAAACAGACACACAGAAATTTGCCACTCTACTAGCGGTTGTGGATTTTTTGAAGAAAAACGAGCTGAGTAACGAAGACAAAGTAGAGGTGTCTGAGGCTCTCGACTTGCAGTTTCTGAGGAGGCTACTGCACACTAGCAAGCTACCAGAAGGGTGCTCTGAACATGTGTTTAGAGCAGTCGCTTTGAACGTTTTGACCTACGTCTGTACCGATGCCTATATTCAATGGGAACAAGTGCTGTTAGAAGAGATAAGTGTGTTGAAAGAGATTATATCGACATGTCCTGCAACATCAGAAGAAGAAAATATGGTTAAGGATTCATTGCAGTGTATTTTATTTTTAGCAACGAAAGACCGTAGTCATCAGACAGTTCTTCTAGAAAACGAAATCGACCGGGTGCTTGCCAACATATGCGTCGAGGGAAGTTATGGATATGAAATGGCTCTGCATATTTTATTGACAACATTCTCGTCTGAAGGAAGAAACACTCTTCCTCCAAAAACATTCACTAATCTTATGAACAAGTTGACCGACGATTTCTACAAAGATCATTCTTCTAAAAAGTTTGAATTGTGTCATGTACTTACCGATATTTTACAAGTTTGTGCAAACATTAAAGTATGTCAAGAAGAACAGTGGTTGTTTACCGTTAGGTATGCTCTGTATGATATTCTGAGAAGTAAATTAAGTAAAGAATATAGAGATTCTGCATTGAAATTAGCTAGTACCATGATGGAGAAATTTGGTTCGGTGTGGTTGATAGACGAGAGCGAAGGATCAAGAAAATTCTTGGCACTATTAATAAATCTAGCATGCATCGAATCACAAGTTTTATTACACAATAAGAAAATTAATGAAGTGATTAAAGATCTCGAAGTGCTAGTTTCTTGTTACAGCATTCTGGAATATACAGTGTCTTTGTTAGTTGAGGACGGTCTGTCACATTGGACCGATCCAAACATGGATCAAATTCTAGTTGCATTAAAAGATACATTTAATATTATTATTCAGTTTTTTATTAATGTATCTAAAGAATGGGATAGCGTAAAAGATTTAGATGCTTGTTCCACTGGAAGAGTTCGCCAAGTAACGTGTGCCACGTTTCGCATATTATGTTGTTGGTTGGCAGAAGAAACTTCCATGCTCCGTAACGAAGTTTATGAAGCCCTTCCCTTTATGATTAAGATATCAAAAAGTTCAGTTCGTGCTGTTAAAGACAGTAAACAGAGACCAAATGCGGCACTCTTTCAAATTTGGAATGTGGACATGATGCGTTTCATTTTACCAGTGTTGTGTCATCTCAGTGCCGACGATAACGCAAGAAAAATATTGCTCGACGAAGAAATTCCCATCACATTATTAGATTACTTGCAGTTTCAATGGAATGCAATGTCGACTTCTTCCAAAGCCGAAGAAATATCCATCATCCTTTCCACTCTCTGCAGCATACTTCTGAATATAGTCGTGTTTGAACGGAAAAATATTACAAAAAACGAAATATTTTTCCAGCTGTTAAAGTTTTTATTTTCGGCTCTGTCTACTCTGCATTCAGGATCAAAGTTCTTGCAATTGAAAGCTAATTTCGCTGTACTCGGCCTAATGATAAGTGGATATTACTACAACAGGATACGGCTGTGCGAAACCAGTTTCTGCAAATTCTTGTCGGCCAGTGTGAAATTTTTGTGGGATGCTCATCACATCGAAGACACCAGCGATTCTACATCATTCGTTTTGGATCGAGAATATCGTAAAATCTGGCAAGACATTATGGAATTATGGTTCTTGGGAATGCAGGCACTGTCGAATCTTCTCTCCTGCATACCTTGGATTTCGACGTTTCTCTTAGAAAGCGGTTGGCCACAACACATAGTCACCCAGCTATCCAGAGTTTCAGAACCGTGCATCGAAGGAAGCATAAAGACAGCCTACCAGCATTTTCTGTACTGCATCATCAAGACGTGTCCCGAAGCCATTCAGGCACTGTTGGACTGCGAAATCGTGAAAGTGTGTAGAGTTCACAAATTGAAAGAATTGGAATCGTTATTCGTGTGAGGGGGTCATTCGGACTTCGGAAAGAATCATGGTTGTAGCAAGTATATTTATAAAATTCATCCAGTCTTGCCAGCTTAATTAGTTAATTGGTGAAAAGGAATGTGTGGGAAGAATTTTACACAAAGACTGGAGTACACATTAATTTATAAATGTCATAATTTTTTAGTTGTTAATGTTTCTCTCTTAAAAATTTGTAATTTTTAAATTTGAAGATTAAATTTTTGATGTATGTTTACTCTCTTGTCTGCTGCTGCTGAAATAATCAGTTAGATTTTACCAAATAAATCTAAACTTCTTTTGAGAAGCCTCAGGGAAATAACTTTTTCAGTAATACATGACAAAATATTGGACTTTTATTGAACTAGACATTACTTGAATTAATTATACGTTAATTGAACATTACTGAATTACATGGACTACTAAAACAATTTGGTAGAGAGACATATCTATGGCACTGGAAACTGTTTGTAATCGATGTTTATTGTCATCTTTGGCAATAAAAATAATATTGTATTAATTTGGTATCTATTGTTTCTAAGTATCTTGTCAGTCTATAAGTTCATGTGCATTTTTATGATCTTGAGAAAAATCTTGTTTTCTTTTTAAAAATGCCAGTCTAATATGATACTTTTTACACTGAGGTGTGAAATTGGATCTCATTCTTATGATACTGTTCAGAATTGGGAACATTTCAATTGTTTATTTTCCTTAAAATGGAAGTAACTGATGATTATAAAAGACAGGTTTATACTTTTTATTTTTAAGTGGTGAGAGTGCTACAAATGCAGCTGAAAAAATAAATACTGTACATAATCAAATAAATTAGTGAAAAGACTGCATAGAAGTGGTTTGAAAGATTTAGGACCAATGATTTTAGTGTGAGGGATAAGGCTCATACAGGAAGACCAGTTGACTTTCATGATGATTCTCTGTATCTGCACTAGTTGAAGCAGAACATCTTTAACAGTTGATGAATATTTAAATTCATCCCATGGAATTGTTCATAGACACCTACAATGGATTTGGAAGTGTTTCAAAACTAGGAAAATAGCTATTTACAGTTTCAATGGTATCCAATCAATAATCAAAACGTTTGCACATTTTATATCCCATATTGCTTTAGAACCCTTTCTCGATTGGCTGGTTACTGGAGACGAAAAATGGATCCTCTATAACGTGAGGAGAAAAAGACAATGGATTGTTACAAATGTAAATCCGTCTCTATAATCCAAAAAAACACACTTTGGTAGATGTATCTCACAACAATTTCTGATTAGCAAATTATTTTTTATTTTTCATTGAACTACAAATATATTTCGGGTTG